TACCACGGCTGCAGGCTCCATCCCTGGTCAGGGCACATACAGGAGCAGCCAGTGAATCCATAAATAAGTGGAACAGTGAGTCAGTCTTTCTCTCTTCCTCTCTCCCTTCCTCTGTCTCTAAAATCAATCAATCAATGAAAAATTTAGAAAATTTAGAAAAACTTTCTGTCTTTTTTTACTTATGGATTATTTAGGAGTTTGTTATTCAGTTTCTAAGTGTCTTTCTGTTATTGATTTCTAATTTAATTCCACGGAGGTCCAAGAATATACTTTGTAGGACTCGATCCTTTTAAATGTATTCACACTTGCTTTATGGCCCATCAGATGCTCCAGAAAGCATGTGCATTCTGTCCAGGGGTGGGACGGCCCCCAAGTTCCAATTAGGTCCGCTTGGTTGATAGTGCTGTCCTAGTCTCAGAGCCTTGCAGGGTTCCTGGCTGCCCAGGTGCTAAGCTCTCAACCACAGCCGTTGTAGCTCTTCATCTCCTTGTAGTTTTTCCTTCATGTATTTGAAGCTCTTTTATTAGGGGCAGAAATGTTAAGGATTGTTATAGCCTCCTGATGAATTTACCCGTTATTTCTATAAAATGACCTTTTTATTTTTAAAAAATATATATTTTGATTGATTTCAGAGAAGAAGGGAGAGGGAGAGAGAGACACATCAATGACGAGAGAGAATCATCTATTGGCTGCCTCCTGCACACCCCCTACTGGGGGATCGAGCCCACAACCTGAGCATGTGCCCTGACCAGAATAGAACCGGGACCCTTCAGTCCGCAGGCCAATACTCTAACCACTGAGCAAACCTGCCAGGGCCACTTTCATATTTCTTTTTTTAAAATATATATTTTTATTGATTTCAGAGAGGAAGGGAGAAGGGAGAAAGATAGAAACATCAATGATGAGAGAGAATCATCGCTCAGCTGCCTCCTGCACGTCCCCTAGTGGGGATCAAGCCCACAACCTGGGCATGTGCCCTTGGCCGGGATCGAACCCGGGACCCTTTAGTCCGCAGGCTGACACTCTATCCGCTGAGCCAAACCAGCCAGGGCCACTTTTATATTTCTTATAGTGTGGGGCTGCTGTTGGTGAATTCTTTCAGCTTCTGTAGGTCCAAACATGTCTTTATCTCACCTTTGGTTTTAGAAGTTATTTTTGTGAGGTGTAAAGTTCTCAGTTGGAGGTTTTTTCTTGCAGTACTTTAAAGAGGTTACTCTCTTCTCACATTGCTTCTTATAAGAACTACTGTCGTCATTATCTTTGTTTCTCTCTACATAATGTGTCTTTTTCTGGCTGTTGTTCGATTTTTCTTATCATCGCTAGTTTTGAAAATGTTGCTTATGATGTCCCTTTTT